TGCTAGGGAATGAAGACTTCAGTGTAAGAGGCAGCTGATGCCTTTCACCTGGATTCTGGGGTGGTTTATCACCCACCACCATCTATATGGAATGAGAGACACCCAGAGGGTCTTTGGAGAATTTTTAGGTTAGAGAAGAGTCATTTTGTCCAAATCTAAACTCACAGATAGTCCTCACAAATTCTAAACATTCAGTCTGAATGTCCCTTTGCAAGAGTTGCTTCTCCACTTGTATTTATCCAGTAGAGACCCTGTATAGGAAATTTGTGCACTCAGGGGAGAGGGGAGAAATCTCTCAGCCTGGATTGCCAGAGGGTGCAGGCCAGGCAGAGGGAACCTCACCTGTACACCATCAGGAATGGGGAGTGATTTGGGAGATTGGCCACCTGGGGAGGGCCACAGGAGGGCTGCTGACTGCTTATCAATGACAACAGATGAAGAATGAAGATGTCAAAACAATTTTGCTTCTTAAAAAAAAAAAAAACAAGCCGAAGCCGGTTTGGCTCAGAGGTAGAGCGTCGGTCTGTGGACTGAAAGGTTCCAGGTTCGATTCTGGTCAAGGGCATGTACGTTGGTTGTGGGCACATCCCCAGTAGGGGGTGTGCAAGAGGCAGCTGGTCAATGCTTCTCTCTCATCGACGTTTCTAGCTCTCTATTTCTCTCCCTTCCTCTTTGTAAAAAATCAATAAAATATATTTTTTTTAAAAATGAGTTTTGCCCTGGCTATTCTGGCTCAGTGGATAGAGCTTTGACGCATCGACTGAAGGGTCCTGGGTTTGATTCTGGTCAAGGGCATGTATCTTGGTTGCAGGTTTGGTCACAGTGCCTGTAGGAGGTAACCAATGGACACATTGGATGTTTTCTCTCTAAAAATCAATGGAGCCCTAACTGGTTTGGTTCAGTGGAGAGAGCGTCGGCTTGGCCTATGGACTGAAGGATCCCAGGTTCGATTCAGGTCAAAGGCATGTGCCTTGATTTTGGGCATATCCCCAGTAGGGGATGTGCAGGAGGCAGCTGATCGATGTTTCCCTCTCATCGATGTTTTTAACTCTCTATCCCTCTCCCTTCCTCTCTGTGAAAATCAACAAAATACATTTTAAAAATAAATAAATAAAGTTGCCTGGTAAAAGGGAATGACCTTTGGGGAGGGAAAAAAGTCAATGAACAAGTATCCTGGTGGGGTGGGGAGGGAGCAGGGCTGTGGCTGCAGTGAGGAAGACTCTGAGACACGAGGTTATTCTGGGGGATCACAGCGCGTGGGGAGGGATCGGGATGCTGCTGGGGCTCGGGTGAGGTCACCACGTGGGCACCGGTGGCCTCAGATGAAGGCACGTGGGGTTCTGTCCTTGCCGCCAGGAGAGGAGGTCACGGGCATCAGCGAGGGCTGAGAGGCAGCACTAGGCATGACAGGTGTGGGCAGGGAGGTCGGGAGCAAGGAGCTGATCCCAGAGGAGCTGACCACGAGGGTTGACCTGAGACAGGGTCACAGAGCCCACGCGGGAAGACAGGTGTAGTGGGAGGGGGCAGAGAGGGGAAGGGAGGGGAGGGGAAGCGAGGAAGAGGGGTGAGAGGGAGGAAGGATGGGAATGAGGGAGGGAGGGAATAAGGGAATGAGGGAGGGAGGAAGGGAGAGAAGGAGGGGGAGGAAGGGAGGGAAGAGAGAGGGAGGGTGGAAAGGGGAAGGGAGGGAGAGAGAGGAGTGAGAGGGAGGGAGGGAAGGAGGGAGGAAGGGAGAAAGGGAGGGAGGTGGCCCCTGGAAAGGTGCTCAGCCAGCTCCTTGGGAGGTTTGAGCCCAAGGACCCTACAGGGACAGGTTTCCATGGGTACAGAGGGATAGTCTTGGTATTCTGTCTCTTTCCAAGCAAATCCAGGATGGAAAACAAACCCAGCCGCCACCAGGTGCCTTTGCACCCAGGCCCATCCAGGAGGCCTCACAAGCTCTTCAGGAGATGGTGGGCGGAGCCTGTGTGCACACTTGTCTCTGAGGCGCCCTGGGATGCATCACCCCCCTCCCCCCTTCCAAAGGGGCCTGCACTTACTTTTTGTTTTGTTATTCCTCACCAATGGGTTTTTCCACTGGTTTTTATTTTATTTTATTTTATTTTTTAATACATCTTTATTGTTCAGATTATTACAGGTGTTCCTCTCCCTCTCTGCCTCATAGCTCCCCTCCCCGATTCCCAACCCTACCCCACGCCCTTACCCCCACCACTGTCTTCATCCATAGATGTAAGATTTTCGTCCACTCTCATCCCGCACCCCTCAGACCCCTTTCCCCCTGTGAATTGTCAGTCCACTCCCTTTTTATGTCCTTTTTAAATACATTTTTTTACTGATTTCAGAGAGATAAGGAGAGGGATAGAAAGTTAGAAACATCCATCAGCTGGCTCCCGCACACCCCCTACTGGGGATCCAGCCTGCAACCCAGGTACATGTCCCTGACCAGAATCAAACCCTGGACCCTTCAGTCTGCAGGCCAATGCTCTATCCACTGAACCAAATAAACTAGGGCTCCCATTGATTTTATAGAGAATGGGAGAGAGAGGGAAAGACAGAGAGAAGCATAGATGTGAGAGAAACACATTGCTGGGTTGCCTCCTGCAGGAGCCCTGCCCAGGGAGGATCCTACAACCCAGGTACGTGCCCTGGCCAAAATCGAACCCAGACCCTTCGGTCTGCAGGCCGGCTCTCTACCCACTGAGTCACGCTGGCCAGGCCCTGCATGCTCTTGTTTGTCACCGAGGCTGGCACCTCTCCCTCCCAACACACTGAGAGGTTTGGCAATAAGATCCTATTCAGCAAGTCGATCCCTGTGCTCAGTGACCCAGTGGGAGACTCTCACGCCATCAGATAGCTTTTACTAGGTTTGGGTTTAGTGCTGTTTATCAGTTATTTCCACAGACACAGCCTAATCGGGAAAAGGGCCCGCAAGAACCTGTAGAACATTTATAAATCAGAACAGCGGGAGTGGCCGAGGCCGTGGGCAGCGACCACTAACCTCCGTGGCAGCTGCGGCCCTGCAGACACTCTCCCAGCACGTGTCCCTGTGAACATGTCAGGGTGCGGCCTCCACGGGGTGTCATGGGTGGCCGTGGAGAAACTGGAGGAGTCGTCTGAAGAAGTACATTGTCAGTGCGTGTGTAGGGAATGATTTTATCCAGTCACTTCTTTTTCTTATCGCTAAATACAAACAAGTTTTTAACAAAACAAACAAAAAAGTATCTTCGGGTGAGGATTAACAAAAAAAATAAAAATAAGTTTTTGCCCTAACCAGTTTGGCTCAGTGGACTGAAGGGTCCCGGGTTCAATTTTGGTGAAGAGCATGTACATCACCATCCTGCAGGAGGCAATCAGTCCATGTGTCTCTTTCACATCCATGTTTTCCCCTCTCTCTGTCTCTCCCCTTCCCTTCCATTCCCCCCCCACCCCCTCCTTCCACTCTTTCTAAAAATCAATGGAAAAATATCTTTGGGTGAGGATTAACAACAAAAATATTTATCTCCCCCTTTCTTCTTTGCATCTCTGCTCCTTCGGTTGGGGGATCTTTGAAAATGTGGTCACTTCAACTTTTGCTTCCTGTGAGTTCAGACTTTCTACATGCAGGTTCCTTTACCTCAGTCAGCAATATCTTGGCAGGATTTTGGAGAATTGTTATTTCAGCACCAACTCTTAGTTGTCTATGTCCCTTTGGAGGCAAGGAAGATTTGGAGGGCTGGCCCAGATTCCTATTGCATCTCATGTGTGCTTATGGGCACAGACATATCTTTGTGATTATTAATTTTAATTTCTACATGGGAAAAATTGCTCTTCTCTTGCCTGTGCCCTCTCCCATCAAGACTGTACCCGAGGCCCATTTATCATGGAGTTATAGAGTATGTAACTCAATGTCTCTTCTTTGAAATATTCTAAGATCTTGGAACAAAGGCAGTGAAGGGGGGATAGTGAAAACTTGATAGTAATTTGGGGGGTTTGTGGATTTTATAGAGGATTGGGGAATGTGACTAGATTTTATTCTGCCAGGGGCATTAAGGAGGAGTACCTAAACATAAAATAAGTCCTAAGTTTATCTAAGTGTGTTAGGAACAGAGAACTGTCTATAAGAATTGGAAAGCAAAGTGGGTAAGATTCCCAAATTAATAAAGAGAGGGAGGAAATAAAATAGAAACTTGAGCAATCCAATGTAAAAAGAGAAAAAGTTAAATAGTAAGAAAACAAAATATACTTACACTAATAAAAAATAAAGTATATATTATTTATTACACTGAAACAAAAATCATGCCTTTTGGCTTAATCCTACCAAGTTAAGAACATCCTATATAATAAAAGGCTAATATGAAAATTGTCCCTTTGACTGGGTATTTGACCAGGGGGTGGGGCTGGTCGGCCAACTGCCTGCAGACCCATGCCCCAACTAGCCCTGCCCCCAATTGACCCCCTTCCCACCATAACCCCCCCCATTGAGGACAGAGCAGGCTGGCCAAACACCAACAGCTCTCCCCCTGGCCAGCCCAGCTCAGCCCAATTGGCCCTGATTGGGGTGGGTCAGCCGGACCCCACTCGTGGACAAATTTGTGCACTGGGCTTCTAGTTAACAATAATTTGCATACAACTAAATTCCCGAAACATAGCAGATGGTTACTTTACATATGTATTTTAAGCATACTAGGTATTTAGGACTCAGAAGGCAGGAGTCTAATGAGGGAGCACACCTGTCTCTCCACTCCCCTCAAGAAGTTCAGTTCAGGCTCCCACCATGAGCTGCTGGAGTCCCTTCTGTTTCAGATGGGTAATCGTCAGATGGTGTGACTTTTGCATCTCCACTGCAATGAATGATAACTGTATCGCAGCAGATGAAGCAGCAGGCACTTTTGGTAGTCTAAGAGTAACATCTGCTCCCCACCTGTCTGGGCCCTGTAAGCAGGGAGCACCGAGGATGTCGAGCAGTCCCGAGTTGCTGTCAGTGGCACCGAGGAGTTGATTGTAGTCACCTTCCTACCATTTTAATTACAATCATAGCCGTAATCTCTTCCTTCGCAAGGAAAGCTCCTCGATAACACCTTATTCCTATAAAGCAAGTGAAATGATAGACACCTTTAAAATCCCAAACAAGAAATGTCAAGAAACCCAGTGCTGGAATGCCAGTAAAATTGACCTTAAATTTCAGGATAGTGGGTGGGAAGCTCATGGCTAGGCCCTCTAGGAATGGCAATTTCAGCCACCTTACCATTTGTCTCTATCATATTCCTGTTCTGTGCAGCCTGGTGCAGGAGAGGCCCCTGAGTGATTATTTTTTAACCATTTCCCATGGTCCCAGTATGCCAGTAAAAAGCTATCCAACATGACCTCAATTGTATTTAACTTCATTGGCACAGAATTGTGGCAGGAATCGGGACAGCCAAAAGGGGAAAAGACAAGCATACATTCCCTGTGCCAGCTCCCAGGGGCTGCCACCCCTAGATGGTGAAGGGGGAGTCTGGCCGGAGGGCCCCACGTCAGACTGCTATCCTCTACCAGCTGTGCCTGATCTCTGGTGTTCAGTAACCACGACACCAAAGGGGTGGAGGGTAAGCGGGACAACAGAAAGCTGAGATGGAGCTCTGGGTGGTTCCTTATGGTGGAGTAGTGTGGGCACAAGACTCGGCTGCACCAGAGGGACTCTTTTCTCCCCATCTTCCCTGTCCCTGATGAAAATCCCCTGTAAGCATCCCATTACTCTGTTGGTACTTTCAGAAAATACCTCAAAGAGCAGTGTCTACTTCTTTCCTCCCCTGACTCAACCAACACCAAATTTTCTAATATCCTTTACTGCTTTGAATCTTATCATCTAAACAAGTATATTATGTGTACCTTCCTCAAGTTTCACTTGAATTAGAAAAGTTTCCCCAGGCACTCCCCCCATTAACTTCATAGCCCAGCTTTTCTCTTTTCATTTCTGCCTCCTTTAACACGTTCCCCCAATATTGCTGTTCCTTGAAGCACTATTCTGAGCTCTACTCTTACCTTTAGCAATATTTAAATAACCATCAGATAATTATCTAGAAGCAAGATTTGTTCTTGGCACCTATAGGAAGTGGCAGGCCCATTAAACATAAAAAACACCCTTTTCTCCTTGGACTGTCAGCCTCAGTCCATTTACCTGCTTAAACCCTTCAGTGGCCCATCACCTAGGGATGAGCTGCTTGACTCAACTCCTCATCATCCCCACCACTGCTAATGTACATTTTTCTTATTTACGCATTTTTTTTTACAATTTTTAGATAGACATTATCATGCATATTTTGTAAGAGAAAACTGAGGCTTGTTTTCTGCAATATTCTATCATAAGGAACTATAATATTTTCAATTCTATATTGCCCTAAGGTTTCCTTCACAACCCCGGCTCTGATCCCCATACTGAAAAATGACCTTACTGCTTTTCATCTAGTCAATTCTCCCTTTACATCAATAAATCTGTTTTTTGATGCCAGTCATCACATGGCATCAAATGTTTGCAGATGTTTATAAACCAATCATCTGCATTAGACTGTAGGCTACTTAGATTTTTTTTTTTGATAGTAATTATTTCAGTGTAGTACATATACATGGAATATAGTAATTATAATTGTGTGTTTCTCTAAAATTATGGGTCTCCAAATAGACATATTTTTTTTCCCTAGGAATATACTAATGGGTGATAACTTTCTTGAAATTCTTTACTGATAAGGGCCCACTTTTAGTTTGTAGAAAAGAACTAGGTAATTACCTATGAACGCATTTTGGGCACAACATATTATCCTCCAGGTGGGGGGGTGGAAAGCTGAGGGAAGGTATCAAGAAGAGGGCACACACTTGCCCCGGTTTCTCAGGAACCCAGGCCTGCCCAGCATAAAACTGCAGCTGAACCCAACCCTCTGTGTCTGCAGGGAGACTCTGTCCATGGACCACACACCACTTGAGACCTAGGAAAGGAAAGAGAGATAAGTACAAACAGAGTAAGACCAAATCACGTTCAAAATTGCATCCTGGTCTTTGAGTCTTTCTCAAGTGCTAGCTCTTGAGATATGAACCCTGGAATTTTGAGTTAACCTGCTGTATCCTGTTCCCTTTAGAAAACAATGCAAGACAGTTCCTGTTACAGCTTTAAAAAGAAGCAAAAACTATAGTTGGAAGTGGTATAAGCTCCAAGTGGGTAGATGGTGGTGTGGAGGAGGCAAAACTTGACCTCTACCCATCTTAGGCTTCCGGCTGGGAATCTAAAGACAGATTAATAAGAGAAAGACTATTTATCAATGCATGCCAGGTAGGAGAAAACACAACAAAACTGGACTCAAAATGGGGGCTTAAAATTCCATCAAATAAAGAACAATATATTTGTGGAGAAATGACAGGACAAAAGAAAGCAAGTTTAGGCCACAGGGGATGGTGAACTGTGGGGAGGTGAATGCATGGGAGGACACTAATGGAGTAAGGTTTGCTCACAGGTTCCTCTGGTACCATCTCTCAGTTGACAAGAGCATATCTGGCAAAAAGTGAACTTATGTCCTCCCTTTAGGCAGAAAAGGCAGAGGTTGTTTTTTTTTTCCCCTCTCTGAGTTTAATTGCCTTCACCTCAAAATAAATTTATTTATGTCAAAGAGTTATATTTGTGGATAACCCATTCTGGTTTCCTTCAACAGAAAGACTAACCCAGAGAAGTCTGAATGGCCTTCATGAAATAGGTCAAAGGGTATGAACACTTCAACAGGTAGTTTATTGTCTTCCTTAAGTATATCATCTATAATCCTTACAAATGTAGAGGTAGCATTGTATTCTTAACCCATTTTATGGTGTGAAAAGTGGGAAAAAGCTGAAACAATCTGTCCGTGTTTCTCATTTAATGGATGTTAGAAGACCCAGGGCTTCAGCTCAGGCAGTTGATTTTAATCTATCTTCCTTCCTTCCTTCCTTCCTTCCTTCCTTCCTTCCTTCCTTCCTTCCTTCCTTCCTTCCTCCTTCCTTCCTTCCTTCCTTCCTTCCTTCCTTCCTTCCTTCCTTCCTTCCTTCCTTCCTTCCTTCCTTCCTTTTAAAAAAACCTCACCCAAGGATATTTTTTCCATTGATTTTTAGAGATAGTGGAAGAGAGAGGGAAAAAAGAGAATTATCAGAAATATTGATGTGAGAAGAACACATCAACTGGTTGCCTCCAGCACACATCTTGACCATTCCCTGGAAGAAGCCTGAAACCGAGGTATGTGCCCTTGACCAGAATCAAACCTGGGATCCTTTGGTCCACAGGCTGACACTCTTATCTATCCACTGAGCCAAAATGGTTAAATTAATTCAAACAGATTGTCATTCCTTTGTGATGACACCAGTAATTTAGAGTAGTGGTTTTCAGTGTGAGTGATCTCCCGACTAGCATCCTCAGCAGTGCCAAGAAAATTGCCAGAAATGCACATTCTCAAGCCTTGAATCAGAAACTAGAGGTAATGGCAGAAATCACTAGCTCTTTAGGTCATTTAAATATAACTTAATTTGAGATTAATATCAACTAAGCTCCCTAGCTGTTTGGCTCAGTAGGTAGAGCATAAGCCTGCAGATGGAAGGGTCTCAGGTTAAATTCAAATCAAAGGTCTGTATCTTGGTTGCAAGCTTGATCCCCAACTCTGGTCCAGGCCTGTACAGGAGGCAACCAATTGATGTCTCTCTCTCTCTCTCTCTCTCTCTCTCTCTCTCTCTCTCTCTCTCTCTCTCTCTCATCGATGTTTCTATTTATAGTTTTGCTCCTTTTCTATATGGGGCTTACCAGTGGCCTCCTGTGGCAACCTCTTAGTCTTCATATTCCCAGTCTTCCCAGTAGTGGCTGCAATTCTGCTCCAGGAGGCAAACACATCATCCGGGGTGGAAGTTGACACGAAAAGATTGTCCATTCCCTCCAGGAGAGCAGCTGCATCCCCGTCAGAAGCGGCTCCCCCCTCCGGGGAAGCAGTCAGTTCAGGAAGAGAAAAACTGTCCAGAGTCATTTCCCCCTGCTGCACCTTCAACTTCCTTTGTGCTAAGGACAATATCTTTGCCTCCTCAGGTTTGACTGGAGTCTTCTACAAATAGGATTGGAGAGATTAAAGTGTTATCAGAAATGCAGCCTCGCCCAGTTGGTGTGGCTCAGTGGCTGAGCTTTGACCTATGACCCAGAAGGTTTAATTACTGGTCTAGGCACATGTCCAGGTTGTGGGTTTGATCCCCAATGGCTGGGGACGGGGGATGCAGGAGGCAACCAATTAATGATTCTCTCTCATCATTGATGTTTCTATTTCCCTGTCTCTTCCTGTCTGAAATAAAATAAAATAAATGAAGCCTCACTCAGGCTAGTGTCTCTTAAAAGGTTGATGGTTTGATTCCTGGTCAAGGCATGTATCCAGGTTTTGAGTTTGATCCCTGGTTGGGGCACGTGCAGGAGGCAACAGGTTGATACTTCTCTCTCTCTCCCTCCAAATCAATAAAAACATTTTCTTTTTTTAAAGAGAAGTGCAGCATCATTTTTATTACTCTTTGCAGAGTTGGTGAAAACTGAGGACAGGGATGTTGTGCCTTTTTAGGAGTGGAGGGTGAAAAAAGGGCTAGGTCAATTATTTTACAACTTTTTCATGCTAAAATAGGTAATTAGGATGATAATGGAAGCTTCCATTCTACCAAATTACTCACCTTTTGATGAGGGTAAGCATATTCACGCAGCCTGTCATATGTTTCCCATTTCTAAGAGAAGAGAAAATGAGTTAATAATTAGATCAAGGTTCCCACGCTGCCCTCTAGCCACACTCACAGCCCGGGCCCTCACCTGGCCACTGGTGCTCAGCTTTAATTGCTGGCACCAAGCCCTCACGACGTCTCGGTGAATCAGGTTAACTGGTGGCAAGTGATCGGGCAGCGGAGGAATTGGTATCTTCCTGTGAGTTTTTACTTTTTTTTTTTCTGGTTCCATCTTTTCTGGACAATAATCTGAAGGAGAACGGGATAAAATTAGTAATAATTAACTCTTATGTGGCCTTTTAAAATGTCAAAAGTACAATCACTTTTAGTTATCAGAGTACAGTCCCCCGTATAGAGTTAAATGATTTACCCATGACCACAAAACCTCAAAGGCATGGTCCTCGCACCTAAGACTTAAAACTTCTGAGTTCCCCAGTTTTTAATTCCTAAAACTCCCCACTCCTCACACACACACTCCCCACTCCTAAATAGGCACAACATCCCTGTCCTCAGAGATTAGCCCAGAGATTCCAAGGAAGTTGCTTAGAGTTCGCACTTCCAATCCAGGGAAATGAGAGAAGTTTTAGACCTGTGATGTGCAGCACAACCACTGTTACCCACAAATCTGCCAGCCCACCCCACCAGGGCAGCGCTCCTGTCCTAGCACACTCCAACACACCATTTAAGAAAAGACTTCAGAACACAGCTCCAGAACAGACACAATTATGCCTACACTAATAATTCCCAGCATTTACTGAGTCCACATTACTAGCTGGGTATAGTTTAGAAGTTTTACCTAATCACTCCATATAAATTACAACTGACCTTTCACCCCTGGCTCAGCCTAGTAGATATTATCCTCCATTTTTAAAACAGGAAGTGGAGTTTTAAGAATGTTATTATTTTTTTAAATCCTCATCTGGAGATATATATGTCCATTGACTTTTTTTTATTTTTTATTTTTTTAATACATTTTATTGATTTTGTACAGAGAGGAAGGGAGAGAGATAGAGAGCTAGAAACATCGATGAGAGAGTCATCGATCAGCTGCCTCTTGCACACCCCCTACTGGGGATATGCCCGCAACCAAGGTACATGCCCTTGACCAGAATCGAACCTGGGTCCCTTCAGTCCCCAAGCCGACGCTCTATCCATTGAGCCAAACCGGTCTCGGCTGTCCATTGACTTTTAGACAGAGTGAAAGAGGATGAGAGGGGAGAGACAAAGAAACATCAATGTGAAAGAGACAGACACATTGGTTGGTTTGCCTCCTGCATGTACCGCAACCAGGGCTGGCAGTCTGTAACCAAAGAATGTACCCTTGACTGGAATTGAACCAGGGACCCTTCAGTCTGCAGGCTGATGCTCTATCCACTGAGCCAAACTAGCCAGGGTGAGTTTCAAGAATGAAAGGGGTGGGAGAGGCTGAAGTGGAGCCAGGACTGGGATACGTATAGAGTCAGAAAGCCCACATGTAAAGACACAGCAGTGGCTCATGGAGTGTGATGGTGCTTGGCTAAAATATGCTGAAGAAATACAACCGGGAATTTAATCCAAGCTCCAAACCACAGGAAGAATATGAGGAGTCCTTTCTTAGCTGGCCTTTGGACATCAACAGACCAGCAGTTCTGTCTTTTGCTCCCACTCGGGTGGCTGTAATTTAGGACATCTCAGAATTTTCCCCTAGTCAGAGTGGAAGCAAAATTATCGTGCAAGTTTGGAGACAGGAAGTAATAAGTTTTAAGAGGTGACTGAAAAGAGGCTTCAGGGAGGTGAGATTTAAGCCAGGCTTCAAAGGACGCATATGGCTTGCAGAGTAGAGGACAAACATTTATTTCCTTCTCCAGAAAAGTTCCTTGGGCTTAAACCAAGGAAATGGGACTTGAGGGGCTGTTACCTCTTACCTTGGTCATCTTTCTTAGACCTCTTCCGTTTGGTCTCCATCTCTGAGGTTCTTTGTTGGCTTGGTTCACCAGCAGCCCTGTGTTTCTCTTTAGTTGGTTCGGGAGAGGATTTTGAAGCTTTTTGCTGCTCCCCTGACTTCTTTGGGGACTTCTGCTGGGTTTAGAAGAGCCAATCAATAATTCCTCTGGTGTTTGACCCACCACATCACATTATCTGCCTTAAGGTTATCCACACCCAAGACACCAAGGTCACTGGAGGTCATTGGCAGTGTGTATTCCATGGGTATCATCTTAATGTTCAGGTTTATGTATAAGATAGTGAAACAATGATGGAGAAATGGGAGAAGGCCAATTTGAATGTATGAGAGAAGACACAAAATATAGATACAAATAAAATAGAGTAAATTATGCTCTGCTTCGGAGGAAGCCCTTATATCACCCACATTATCCTTATCTCCCACCAAGAAGATTTACAACCCTTATCACCCCCCACATCTTTATTCTTGACCCCTTCCAAAAAATGTTTCCCATAAAGATGCTATATATCCATTATGGTTCTTTTTATTTTCTCATATATTTTATTGATTTTATACAGAGAGGAAGGGAGAGAGAGAGCCAGAAACATAGATGAGAGAGAAACATCGACCAGCTGCCTCCTGCATAACCCCCACCGGGGATGTGCCCGCAACCAACATACATGCCCTTGACGGGAATCGAACCCGGGACATTTCAGTCTTCAGACCAATGCTCTATCACTGAGCCAAACCGGTTTTGGCTCATTATTGTTCTTAGCAGGAAAAATATCCGGATAATCAAATGCCCTTAATACAACATACCAGCCTCATATTTTCCATTTCAGTTTTTCAGTTTTTCTATTACTCTCCATTGCCCCAAGTTTCAGTATCAGCATTCCTTTCCTTCCCAACACAGTTACTTTGACCTAAAGAGAATTCCCTACCTTAGCCTGTTTGGCTCAGTGGATAGAATGTCAGCCTGCAAATCCAAGAGTCCCAGGTTAGATTCCAGTCAAGGGCAAGTACCTTGGTTGCAGGCTCCTCTCTGGCTCGGGCTCTGGTTGGGGTGGGTGCAGGAGGCAACCAATTGAAGTGTTTCCTTCACATCAGATATTTCTCGTTTTTCCCCCCTCTCTCTTTAAAAATCAATGGGTAAAGATCCTTGGGTGAGGATTAAAAAAAAAAAAAAAAAAAACCTGATTAAAAAAAAGTAAAAAGATTTTCCTCAGCTCCACCCTCCCCCCAGGTTCTATTTACTTTTAAAACTTAACTTTTTGACTCTCACTTCCAGTATTAGTTCATCTGGGGTAGAGTTTTTAGCCTTTACAGACCTTGGCAAATCTACATCATTTCCTCATTCCACCATTTGTCAGTTGCAACTCTACATTCGCTTGTGATTTGAACAGTGCCTATTACTCCATTTGATTGTAAGCCCCAGCAGGGAAGAATTTCTTTACTTTTCATTACAGGCACTTACTGGTTAATTGAATCAAAAGAAACAAGAGAACAGAGGGGATGATAATGTTGGGTGATGTGGAGAGACAGAGAAACTGACCTCTGTTGAGCCTCTATCTTCAATCAGGTATTGATAACTAAGGTTACAAAATTAAGAGCACACAGTATTTTAGATAAAATTAATCTAAGGTGAATTTGCTCCCAAATCTAAAGCCTATCATCCATCCAAGTGGGACTACTGGACAAATTAACATTTACATGACATTTTTACAACTCTATAGCAGTTTAACACTCATATTCAAATTTTATATTTGCAAAGCTTTTTCACAAAATACTCACAAAAGTCTTAAAATTGAGAAGGCAAAAAATGACTCAGTTCTAAGAAGAAATCCCAAGAGTGATCAGGTTTTTTTGCAGAGTTGTTCAATTCTTCTGTACTGAAAGAAACCAAACTTACCATCCTTAGGCTGCCTTTTTTGAATACTGATTTTAAGCTGTTTATTAAGAAACACGTCTCAGAAAGAACGTGTATATATATATGGAACACTTCACGAATTTGCCTGTCATCCTTGCACAGGGACCAAGCTAATTTCTGTATCATTCCAAGTTAGTATATGTCCTTCCAAAGCAAGCACTGGAAAGAAACTTTGACCCCCTCAGCCCCAAGAGCTTCAGAGAAACTGCTTCACAAAGATCTTAGGAAGTTCACCTTGGCCTAATTTGAATTATGATAATAAGAGGGCTTCAAGTGGGGGTCTTTGGCTAGGATTTTTCTGCCATGTAAGCTCTGCTCTTTCTCTACCTATAAATTACCCATGTATTCATTCTCTCTCTCTCTCTCTCTCTCTCTCTCTCTCTCTCTCTCCAAAAAAATATTTTATTGGTTTTTTTACAGAGACGAAGGGAGAGGGGTAGAGTTAGAAACATCGATCAGCTGCCTCCAGCACACTCCCTACTGGGGATATGCCCGAAACCAAGGTACATGGCCCTTGACCGGAATCGAACCTGAGATCCTTCAGTCCGCAGGCCAACGCTCCATCCACTGAGCCAAACCAGTTTCGGCTAATTGCCCATTCTTACTTACGAATCTAAGATCTCGCAATTCTCCTACTATTCTCTCCCCCCCCCCCCCCCCAGCCCTGCCGCACGCACACACACCCTTTTCTATTTTGTCCAAAATGGCAATGTTGCCTCACTATCTTCAGGAATTTTTCTGTCCATGTGAATTCCCCATGCACATGTATTAAAACTTTATTTTCTCCTATTAATCTGTCTCTGCTAATTTGATTAGCCCAGCCAGAAAAACTTAGAACGTGGGAGGATAAGTATTAATATAGTAGTTTAGCCCCCACAGTAGTAATCTCAAAGCCTCTCCACCTTTAGTTTCTGTCCTCAGTGCTCATCAGTATGTACGGCTTTTAATTACTTTTTGGCTCTAACAACCCCAGGAAAAGACCAGCTCAGACACAGCACCTTTGGTTTAAGATCTCATTTTCCTCCCAGCCTTAGTCAACTGCCTCTTTCTAAAGTCTTTTCCTCACCTCTCTTTTTCTCCCATTTCCGTTTCCTTCTAGCCCAGATACCTGATTATTTCGACAGGATAAAGCATCTCTTTAAAACCAAAAAAAGCTGACTCATTTCTTATTTATTTCCTCACTCCAAACAGCAAGCTTTCATATCTAGAGCTTACTTTCCCTTCCCCCTCCCTGTCCCTGCCCCAGGCACCTTACCATTAGCTTCCTCACTCTCCTTTACCTCTAGAACTTGTTTGCTAAGCCCATTTCTTTAGGAATTACTTTTTTTTTTTTTTTTTTACCTCTGTAATTTACCCAATAGCTCGCTCTTACAAAAAAAGAATGAATGAATGTGCTGATGATGCAAGTGTAACACACAAAGACAGAAAACAAAGCCCCTAAAATGTCCTTACCTTCTTGCCTTTTGTATTTTCCATAAGGAGAAAAGAATTGAAGGCTGACGAAGAAAAAGTTCTTACTTCTGAAATGGCCCCTGACCCAAGATTGCTTTAAAAAGTCTCCTCCTACTTCCTGCCAACCAAAGGAACTCCGCCCCCTCCTTTTTTTTGTCCCTCCCCCACAATTTGTGAAAGCTACCTGTGTTTTTATTTAAGAGAGAAGCGTGGTATGAATGGATTAATACCATTCCTGGCCTTTTTGTTTGTTTGTTGGTGAGTTTTTTAACATCATTATCTAAGGTGTGGCTCAGAAGATCTTGGGAAGTTAAAACTTCAGAAAAATTCCAAGGGAAAAACAAAAGAAAACTTCTGAACCATAGGAGTGAAGGGATTTAAAGCCAGAACTTTAGGAAACAGTTGAATTTCAGGGCTAGATTGGTGGCTTGAAGAAAGCAAAAAAGGTTTTCATGTACTACATAACATCTTTCTTTAAAGAAAAAACACACATACATTCTTATTGATTTCAGAGAGGAATTGAGAGATAGAAACATTAATGATGAGAGAAAATCATTGATGGGCTGCCTCCTGCACGTCCCCCTACTGGGGATCAAGCCTGCAACCCAGGCATGTGCCCTTAACCAGAATCGAACCCACGATCCTTCAGTCTGCAGGCCCATGCTCTATCCACTGAACCAAAAAGGCTAAGGCAATATCTTCTTTCTTAAGAAAGTTGCCCAGCCGAAACCGGTTTGGCTCATATGGATAGAGCGTCAGCCTGAGGACTGAAGGGTCCCGGGTTCGATTCCGGTCCAGGGCATGTACCTTGGTTGCAGGCACATCCCCAGTAGGGAGCGTGCAAGAGGCAGCTGATTGATGACTCTCTCTCATCAATGTTTCTAACTCTCTATCTCTCTCCCTTTCTCTCTGTAAAAAAAATCAATAAAATATATTTAAAAAAAAAAAAAAAGAAAGAAAGTTGCCCAAACAATTAAAACTCCAGCTTTTCAGTCTTCCCATGGAAAGATGGCAAGTTCCATTCCTGGTCAGAGCACATACACAGGTTTTGAATTGGATCCCTGGTTGGGGCACGCACAGGAAGCAATGGATTGATGTTTCTTGCATCAATGGATCCCACTCCCATCCCCCCTTCCTCTCCCTAAAATACATATATTCAGGTGAAAATTTAAAAAAACAGACACACACACACACAAAAACCCCTACAGCTTCCCATCTGTAGTAATGAAAATGAACATCTTCCCATCTATCAGCAACTAATAGTTTTAAAAGTTCAATAAGTATTTAAAATTCATTAAATCTAGGTCAGCCTGATTCTACTGCTTGAGGTCCTAACCTATAGACTACCAAACAAGGATTCTTTTCTTACAAAAAGTCTGAAAATGGCCTCCTCAGACCACACCTCACTGTTAAACTATCAGGGATTAAGGATACCTGAAACCTGGGCTGGTATGGCTCAGTGGTTTAGTGTCAACCTATGAATGAGCAGGTCCTGGTTCAGTTCTTGGTCAGAGTACATTCCTGAGCTTCTGGCTTGACTGTGGGCATGCAGAAGGCAGCTAATCAAGGAATCATCTCTCTCATCCTTGATGCTTCTATCACTCTTTAATTCTTCTTCCTCTCTGAAATCAATAAAAATATATTTTAAAAAAGGATAAGTGCTGAAACCGGTTTGGCTCAGTGGATAGAGCGTCGGCCTGCAGACTGAAAGATCCTGGGTTCGATTCCGGTCAAGGGCATGTACATTGGTTGCAGGCACATCCCGGTGGGAGGTGTGCAGGAGGCAACTGATCGATGTTGCTCTCTCATCAATTTCTAGCTCTCTATTCCTCTCCCTTCCTCTCTGTAAAAAATCAAAAAAGTATATTTTTTAAAAATAAAAATAAAAAAGGATAAGTGAAGACATTTCCTATGTTCAGAACAAGTGACTGTTGGGTTTCAAACCTTCCCTTGTCAGATTACAAAGTTTGTTTTTGTTCCTTTATTTTGTTTTGTTTTCCTGTATCTCATTGCTTGCTCTAAAATGATGAAAAAGAGATTATTTTTTATTCAGGTGGAAGTGATAATCTACTCACAGTATAGAAATAGGTGGCCATAAGAAGTAAGTAAATGGGAGTTAGGATTAGAGCAGGAAGTTTACGTGAGAACTGAGCAAGCCCCAAAATATGATACCAAAGAGGAAAGCAAGGGTCTAGATCAAGCATGTCAAACCCGTGGCCAATGGGCCACATGCACCCCACAACAAATATATTTTCAGCCCAGACAATATAATGGTATTAGTATGTAAAAAACGTTTTAATATAAATTTTGTGACCTGCCAAAACCGGTTTGGCTCAGTGGTTTTGCTCTGCGGACTGAAAGGTCCCAGGTTCAATTCCGGTCAAGGGCATGTACCTGAGTTGCGGGCACATCCCCAGGCAGCTGGTCGATGTTTCTAAATCTCTATCTCTCTCCCTTCCTCTCTGTAAAAAATCAATAAAATATATTTAAAACAAACAAACAAACAAACAAACAAAAAAACGTTTTAATAAAAATTTTGTGACCTGCCGAAACCGGTTTGGCTCAGTGGTTAGAGCATCGGTCTGGGGACTGAAAGGTCCCAGGTTCGATTCCGGTCAAGGGCATGTACATTGGTTGCGGGCACATCCCCAGTAAGGGGTGTGCATGAGGTAGCTGGTCGATGTTTCTAGCTCTCTATCTCTCTCTCTTCCTCTCTGTAAAAAATCAATAAAACATATTAAAAAAATTGTGACCTAATTTTTACAATAATCTATCATACATAATTATTAATAACAAAATACAACATTTGCTAAAGACTGGTTACTATAATCATGTTGCATTCATTTCCCTTACGTGCAGGCACACAATTTTTTCTCACTAATAACTAGCATCGAATATGTTAGCAACCTATTACCACGTCATTAGTCTTTGGACTGCCTTGTTTAATGTGCATAACAGGAAATAATTTGCTTTCAGAGAACAAGAAAAATAGGTTTAGTTGTGCTATGCTTATTAATTTGTGCAGTTACTCAGTGTCTGGTAAGTTAATGTTGAAGAAAAAATATTAATTTATATTAAAATGTTCTATTATTTTATGTTAATGATTACTCATTTATTTCAGCCCTTTGCATTCAGCATGTCTCTATTGAAATAAACCTACATTTCTGTGAAAATTGAAGCTTTTTAAAAATATATATATATATTTTATTGATATTTTATAAACAGGAGGAAGGGAGATAGAGAGCTAGAAATGTTGATGAGGGAGAAACATCAATCAGCTGCCTCTTGCACACCCCCTACTGGGGATGTGCCCGCAACCAATGAACATGCCCTTGACCAGAATCGAACTTGAGACCTTTCAGTCCGCAGACTGACACTCTACCACTGAGCCAAACCGGTTTGGGCTGAAGCTTTTGATTTTGGGGCTTACATAAACTTAAAACCTGTTTGTTTGGCCCATGTTAGCCTTTGAGTTTGACATACTTGGTGGAGAGCATGGGCCTATGGACTGAAGGATCCCAGTTTCAATTCCAGTCAAGGACACATGTCCAGGCTGTGTGCTAAATCCCCAGTAGGTGACATGCAGGAGGCAGCTGATCAATGATTCTCTCTCACCATTGATGTTTCTATATTTCTCTCCCTCTTCCTTCCTCTCTGAAATCAATAATAAATAAAAAAAATTAAAATAAAGTTGTAAAAAGGTTTGTGAAAGTTATAGAAAGTTTGTAAAGAGAAATGTTAAAAGGAAGTTATATGGATACAGTGAAGATTAGCAGGTCCCTGAACAAAGATGACACCAAAATTTGTGAATTGTTCATATATTTTTTAAAAGAAAGTTATATAGGAGAAACCAAGATGGTGACATAGGTAAACACCTGATATTGTTGCCTTGCACAATCACTTCAAAACTAAAACTAAGAGACAAAATGAATATCATCCAGAACCATAGAAAGGCTGGCTGAGTGGAAATTCTACAATAGAAGGGAAGAGCCGGGACAGGTTTGGCTCAGTGGATAGAGCGTCGGCCTGCATACTGAAAGGTCCCGGGTTCGATTCCTGTCAAGGGCATGTACCTTGGTTGCGGGCATATCCCCTGTAGGGGGTGTGCAAGAGGTGGCTGGTCGATGTTTCTCTCTCATCGACGTTTCTAACTCTCTGTCCCTCTCAATTCCTCTCTGTGTAAAATCAATAAAATATATTAAAAAAAAGAAATCTAGAAGGGAAGAGAAAAGCACCCTGAGACTAAGAGGAGGTGCATAAGTGAAGTGCAGAGGTATGGAGGCTCGAGGGGAAAGGGCTGGCAACTAAAGACACAGTTGTCTTGTTCAATTGGGAGGGAGACACAAGCTCCATATTACTTTGAACTCCAGTTCCAGGCAAGACTCTGGGGACACAGACTCATAAGGGGGGTGAAGGGGGTTGGGAACAGGACTGCCTGGCATTGAGCTGGAACACATGGGAGGCTTTTCCTCAGAGGTTCTTGCAGGACACTGAGACCTGGGAGCCTCTTAGGGCAGGGCTGAAGTTCAACCATTGCAGTTTGCTCTGCCCTGTTGAGTCTCTGAGACCCTGCCCCACTCAATTTTCAACCCCACCCCAGTTGTGTGCAGAGTCTTTTGCATATGAATGGCCTGGCTCTTTGCAATCTAAAATTACCTAACAAACTGCAGCTGGGTCAGAGAGCCCCAGAACTCTCAAAGGAAGGCCCAAGATCCACAGCAGCTTGCATTATTTCACAGATGGACCTCATCTGGGTACCTCCAAACCCAAACAAAGAAAAGAAATTTGCAGGGTGACTTCAGACCTCTTTAGAGATATAAGAGCCGGTGTACCTAGTGGTCAGAGTAGGACCATCCAGATTACAACTCCTCAGATCCATGAGGGACACACTCAGGGGGCAGACTCAGTGAGCACCAAAGCCCCACTGAAGCAAGTACTACCCCATAAGGGTGTCTCCAGAACAGAAATTCTCCCATCGTAGACACAACTGATCCTCACAATCAATTGGCCTAAAGGTCAATTCC